CAAAGTTCGCTGCTTCAGTGTTATGAGATATTTTTGTCAGATGTTACTATGGTATACTGAAGTATAATTACAAACATTCCATAAGTGTCAAAGGCTTTTATTGACAATTACATTAAGTTTATGCAAAGAGTCAATATTTGCAATGTTGAACCTTCTTTTTCAAGACCTCTGCAATCCGCCCTGGCATGCTGTCAATTAACTTCTGGGCCACATCCTGACTGATGGCAGCCCATTCTTGCATAATCAATGCTTGGAGTTTTTTAGAATTTGTGGGTTTTTGCTTGTCCACCCGCCTCTTGAGGATCGACCACAAGTTCTCAATGGGATTAAGGTCTGGGGAGTTTCCTGGCCATGGACCCAAAATGTCGATGTTTTGTTCCCCGAGCCACTTAGTTATCACTTTTACCTTATGGCAAGGTTGCTCCATCATGCTGGAAAAGGCATTGGTCGTCACCAAACTGTTCTTGGATGGTTGGGAGAAGTTGCTCTCGGAGGATGTGTCGGTACCATTCTTTATTCATGGCTGTCTTCTTAGGCAAAATTGTGAGTGAGCCCACTTCCTTGGCTGAGAAGCAACCCCACACATGAATGGTCTCAGGATGCTTTACTGTTGGCATGACACAGGACTGATGGTAGCGGTCACCTTGTCTTCTCCAGACAAGGTGTTTTCCGGATGCCCCAAACAATTGGAAAGGGGATTCATCAGAGAAAATGACTTGCAGCACCCCAACACAACACACCCCAGTCAGCTTTAGGATCTTAGTGAAACATTCATTATTGGTTTCAGAGTGACAACCAACAGTATGGCAGACTCCCAGGGCCAGGACTGAGCAGCCCAGCAGCTAGGGATTGCCTAAATAGGTATCTCTCCTGACGTGGGCATGTTTTCAATTCAGACTCCTTTTGTCGTACAGTATTCTATATAAGACATCCAGACCTTATGAAAGTTGCACAGTATACCCTTAATCTTGTAATAAATCAAATCTAGTGATACATAACTTGACATTTCTTCCATCCATTGTGGGAGGATAACCAACCTTCCAATGAATGGCAATGCATTTCTTAGCCACTATAAATGCTAGGTTACACAGTTTCTTCTGATAAGTCTCCAGTATCAACATTTCCAAGCAAACAAAAACAGGGAGAAGGGAGAATCTGTAGGCTGAGATAAAATAATATACTCTTTGCCAAAATTCAGCCAGCCTTCACAAGACCATAAATATGCAAATATGTTCCAATTAGTGTTTTACACCTCCAGCAGAAGAATTACATTTCTGAGAGCATGATATTCAGTTTCACTGGCATATAGTATGTTCTATGGATGGTCTTTAACTGCAGTAATTTATGTCTAAGATTATATAAACATGACTGGGCATTCTAACATATATGTATCCATTCATCATCATCAATAGCGTCTACCAGGTCTTCCTCACATTTTTGTTTTACATGTTTTGTGTCATCAGGAAAAGCCTCTATCAACCCTTGGTACAGTTTGTAAATCAACTTTGGAGGTTTGTCAGACTGCCTTAAAATAGTTTCAATCTTTGAAGCTTCTTGCTTGTCCAGTGTTTGCTGCACAGAGAGAATAAAGTGTTGTATCTGCAAAAGTTAACCTCAGCGCCGTCACAGACTGGTCTTCCCTGTCTGCCTGACCCTGATGAGACCCCTGTCACCATCTGATCCTGCTCAGATAAGGCATGACAAAGAATTACCTTGGTGTACATTTATACATTATATTAGCCATGAACATAATCAATGGTTCAATAATTTAAATGACCATTATGCCCAGATCCCAGACTGTAGCCTACCCATCAACTCAAGATGGAACTTTGTATCAATTCACTGATTGTTATAATATACTACAAAATGCACCTGAGCTCCATAGACTGGTCTTCCCTGGCTGTCTGACCCTGCAGGGACACCTGTCACCATCTGATCCTGCTAAGACATGATGAGCATAGTGTTGTGTACTGACTGTGCACCATGACAGTGAAGCCTGTAGAGCTGTTTATACCATGTCAGTGTGAAAAGTAGGGAATTAGGTAGGGAAACTGACAGATAACGTTACATTGCTATACTGACTAATGTAACTCAAATTGCGCTGAACAAACATCAGAATATCGGTCTTCAATCGTTTGGGTGCTGGTTTCATCATTTGATTCAGGTCTAGTGTGATTGGGGCAAAAATTATAGCTAAAGTTAGTGAGATAGCTAGCTAACGTTAGCCAACTTTTGGCTAGCTCTAGCTAATGGTACATCATCAAATTTACTTCTGTTGAAATGGGACAAAACAAAGGCTACAGAACATTTCCATACACACAACAGCTGTTAGATACTACTACCTGACAGATAGCTAGAGGCTAGCTAGAGCTGAACTGGCTGTAGTAGCTATTAGCTAGCTGCTAGTAGTTCATTAACTTCAGTCCAGAGGGGATGAAACATTAGCTAACATAACATGTCATTTACACTACGAGCTCAGCACTGGGATTATTTTTATTTTATTTTGTCAAACAGCAGTTACGTTGCCAGCTAGATCAGTCAACTAAAGAGTAGCCAGTTTCTGCTCTGCTTACTTATAAAACTTGGAGAAAAGTGCAACACAGACAGCAGCTGCCTCTGTTAATCTCTCCCGTGCCTTCACACAGACTGTCTGCACGCTCTGCTCTGTGGTGTCCGTGTCTGCACGCTCTGCTCTGTGGTGTCCAGCCGGCTGAAACCAGAAAACAGCCTACCGGACTGCTCTGAGGCGTCCGCATGGTCCTAAAGCACACCGTTGCCGTGTTTTTCATCACAGTGCAATGGTTAAAAACTGGGGGGGGGGGGGGGGGGGGGGGGGGGGTTAGGGGGGGGGGGATACAGAAATGCAATTTAAGAATGTGGGGGGAGGGGAGGGGAGGGGGGGTTATATCCCCCCCGTCACCAGTGAAAGTTGCGCCCCTGAAAGCAACTATAGACCTACACCAATGGCGGTCGGTGTTGTTTAAGATTAGGGAGGACGATTCTTTTTATGGGCATGGCCTTAGTTCTATTACAGCATATTGGATGACAGTCATTCATATTCCATTCACCCGGCTCAATGTAACATCGATAGGTTTAGGCTACTATGTGACACTCTAATTTTCCCTATACCCATCATGAGGTTGCTACAGTGCACAACACAACAGCTGTCTGTGACCAGGCGAAAAAACCTTTCCAAGCCAAACCTTCATACCATAACCGCTAACCGCTACACACAGCCTACATCATTGTCACCATGTCACCATATTAGCTAACGTCATAGTCAACATAGCTACTAGAACTACCGTGTTTGTAAACCCGCTACAATCACGCAGTACAGTGTACAGCATGCAGTTTAGCAGTTACACCAGCGGGACCCAATGGCAATAAATTAATAAAACCGAAAGCTTCCCTTGACTTGGAAGAGTTCCAGTGCTGGATAGCCTTAGCCAGCTAGCTAGCATAAATTGCATTCCACTCTGTTTGATCCTGGTGTTTGAGTAGGCTAAATTAGCTAGCTGTATTAGCTAATTAAGTGAAAGTGAAAAAATACAACAAAATATAGCTAGCTCTCTCTCTCTCTGCTGCTTCTGTTAAAAACAGAGGAGGATGGAAAATAGCTGTCCTCCGGCTACACCATGGTGCTACCCCAGAGAGTGCTGTTGATGCTACTGTAGACCATTGCAAAACAGTGTTTTAATCAGTTATTTTGTGACTTGAATATATTTAGTATAGTTTTATCTAAAAATGATAACTTTTTAATGTTTCACTATTTTTATTTTTATGAAATTCACTGAGTGGGATGGTCCTCCCCTCCCTCCTCTGAGGAGCCTCCACTGATACACCTAAGAACGTGCATTCTCAAGCCTACAGCATGCTGCATCTCAGGGTAGTGAGGGTACTGCACTAACATATTGCATAGCATCAACACATTCCAATATTGTTTACCTGATTTGGAATATGCTACTTCTGAGGGAGAAGTTGGCGACCTGCTCCATCTTTCCTCTGCAGAAGGGTGGGAACCGCACTCCATCAAACACGAAGTAGGCCTATTTGGTCTCAAACTCTATCTGGGTGCTTTGCGTGTCTGCCTTGCGCTTGGCCATCCTCAAAAAAGGCACCAAACGAAAAGATTTTCGTAATGCAAAGATTATAATTTGATTTGTTTTGAGAACGATCATATGTATCCTCTTGAGTCGGGATATATGGCTTGGCAATGGCGTGATAGTCCGCGAGCGAAGTACCCTTGACCTTCAGGCTTCTGCCAATCACGTCGTCGTAAAGTGACGTAATGGGATGCGCTTATGTGATGCGCGCGCCTCCTCCTCAGCATCAGCACCAGTTCGCTGTGGCGGGGTACGCACGTGCTCACTAGTCTCTGTAGCGGGAAGAGGAATGCCTTCAAGCATACATGAAGCATTCAAGATGATGCAGGTAGGCCTGTTCTTTTTGTAAGATAAAATCAACAGATAAGGTTTTTCAATCCTTGCGTGATTGGTATCATGAGCCTATGGATTTCTCCTTGTTTGATCTGGGTGTTAGCCTATAGGCTCAAATCTGTTAATAAGGTTCGATTTGTCACAGTAATAGCAGGCAGGTGAAACAAATATAGATTAGATTAGAATAGAATAGACATGAACAGAATGCGTCGCTCTCATGTGTTAACGATGCAGAATGTGGGGGCGTGGCTCCTCCTTATGCGGATTGGCCAGACCTGCCCTGTTCTAGAACCGGGAAGTTTATGGCAAATCAGCGCTCCGGCGATTATCAACACATAGGCTAACTGTCGACTCTTTGTACGTTACTACGTTACTCAAGAGGAGTAGACTGACTAGTGTGTGCTATTTTGATCCGTCCTCTATTCCTATATCTTTCGGAACTGTTGTTGACATTCAGTAATGAAGGGAACTTGTCAAAAGCTCCATGGGTAAACATTTTGGAGTGATTATTACAAGCGCATTTACCCAAACTTCTAGGTCCTCGCCAAAGACTGTCCACCAGGGATGTTCGACCTAACGAAGGAATGGAATCTGTCGTTCGCCGGCTGCGGGTTCCTGGGGATCTATCACATCGGAGTGGCCAGCTGCCTGTTGGAACAAGCGCCCTACCTCATCAAAGGTGCCACCAAGATTTACGGGGCTTCGGCCGGTGCCCTAACCGCCTCGGTGCTCGCCAGCCAGGCATCCATAGGTAGGCATCCAATACCCAACACTGGCCCCTTGATTTCACCGGTCCCTGTCATCAGTGGAATGCCTAGATGGGGACTTTTAAGCAAAAGGGGCGCACAAGGAGTAGCCTAGTCCTCTCTTTCATGTGTTTAGGCAACTTTAGAGAAGCAACTAAATTAACTTTAAAGAATAATCACTTGTGGCCTTGATACATGGGGTAAAATTATTTAAACAATGCTTAAAACTTTGCAGGTATGTATAGGTGGTTATACTGGTGCTCCTTTGTAGCTCAGTATAGAGCATGGCGCTTGTAACGCCAAGGTAGTGGGTTCGATTCCCGGGACCACCCAGACATAAAATGTATTCACACATGACTGTAAGTCTCTTTGGATAAAAGTGTCTGCTAAATGGCATATATTATTTTCATGTTATAAACTACCAATTATTAATAATTACATAATTACATGGTCAGAGTCAAAATGCCTGCCTGTTTATAAATATTGTAGCCTACCATTGATAAATGCCATCTGAGTCAGTTATAGGACTATTGACCTATTGGTCATCTGGATCAGCGGCCTCCCAATGGTACTGATTGATCTCGCTGACTAGGGGAAAACACAATCCCGATTAAGAGCAAACATGCCCCTGCATGACATAGAACGTGACATAGTAAGCTCTTAGCTAAGTCTCTGTGTGATACCAGGCCTCTTTCACTTTCTTTTAAACCCAATAACCTTATAGTGAAGAGACCAAGGACTAGTCTGAAAGGTTTCTTGGAATCAGTCCATACCTGGCACACTTAGTACGTGTCCCAGTTGTATCATGTCTAATTGAGAGAGAAAGAGAGACAGTTAAAGAGGGTGAGAGAGTGAAAGAGTAATAGAGGGAGACTTATTGAGTGAACAGTCAATATAGGGGTCATTAAGAGTCAAAAGAAAGCACTGGATTGTTGTGAAAAATTGGCAGAAGAAAGATAGATATAGGTTACCGTTCATGACATCAGTTCTTATAGGGTTACGTTTTTGCCAGAGTTTCACTGTGTCAGTGACTCACATGTGTTCCACTGATAGTGTAAGTAACATCATTATTCCAGCCAGATAAGACTACCTCAGTATTTTCTAATCACTTGATTTTCTTTACTAGAACTCTGTCTGTGTGCATAACAGTCTTTAGATCCATTCCGTCCAAGTGTAGATAAGATGAACACACATAACTAGCTCAGTAAAGGTGCAGAGCAGTAAATAAGTGAAATCAGTGGAGAAATGGGTTTTGTGAGCTACAGATCACTGTTTAATTCCCTTGAGAATCAATCTTGCTTTGAATAAAACACATTATCCAATTCCTCCCAATGGAAGGCCCTAACACACTGTCTCTCCGTCCCTCCCCTCCTCTAGCTAAGTGCTGTGAGGATGTGATCGAGACGGTCAAGGAGGCTCGGAAGCGTAACCTGGGTCCCCTCCACCCCTCATTCAACCCGCTCAAGAGCATCAGGTCGGGCCTGGAGCGCGACCTGCCCGCCGATGCACACACACTCGCCTCCGGGAGGCTGTGTGTGTCACTCACTCGCGTGTCTGATGGACAAAACGTCATCGTGTCCGAGTTCAAGTCCAAGGAGGAGCTCATCCAGGTGAGTGTGCCTCGCTCAACCCACCTGGGCTGCTATTCACAAAACATATCCGAGTAGGAGTGCTGATCTAGGATCAGTTTGGCCTCTTAAATCATAATGGATAAGGAGGTGGCACCTGATCCTAGATCAATACTCCTACTATGAAACACATTGTGAATATGGGTCCTGAACACCCCTGAGCACTTGAGAGTTTTTCCATATCCCATATTTATCCCATACATATTTGTCCTTTCACCTACTGGCCTTGCCATTGACTTTTTACATAAGTTGTATTTAGTGTAAACTGGGTTGAACTGTGTAACATCTCTTTCTCTGGTGTGTCCACAGGCGCTACTGTGTAGCTGTTTCATCCCCATATACTGTGGCCTGATCCCCCCATCCTTCCAAGGAGTGGTACGTTTCCTTGAACACTGTTTCCTTATTTTCTAAGAAGAAGCAGCAGATGTTGGACTTGGTTTATTATGGTCTCATCTTTGATGCCTTTATTGCTCAGGTCATAGTCATAAGGAGGCTATAGGTTCAAGTGTTACACAATGTTGTCTTTTTCTGTTCGTGTGTATGTCTGTCTGTCTGTCGGGTCTGTGCATACACTCTGGTACTTGTCCATTTGTCAGTCTACCCTACCCTAGTAGCTAATCAGCCCGAGGACCATTTCCCTTGGCAGGCCAGTGGTGTATTATATACTTCCAGATTGGCTTCTGGCCTCAGCAGATTGGGACCAGGGAGTCCAGGGTGGCTCCATTCTAAACTGAGTCACTAGGACATAGGAGCACAGTCCTCCAAAACATAAACTACCATATAACACTGACCTATTTAGGTAGCTTTTTCTCTAGTATATTTCACTGCTATCTGCTCTTGTTATTCTTGAGGGCATATAGCTGCTATCTGGGCATGTCCCTGGCTCAGTGCCAAAGGATACATCCATAGAACACAGGTAGAACACACTGGATTGTACAATAAATATAGGTTATAGTTAGTGTGTCCTATAGCCGGGTGAGTCAGGTTCACAGATAGCTATTTAGAGATCCTGTTTAAACTCCTCCACCCCCGCCCAGCCGTCTCTCTCTCTCTCTCTCTCTCTCTCTCTGCTGTACATTGTGTACCATTCTGTCTCAGCTGTACATTGTGTACCATTCTGTCTGAGGTGAAGAACAGGCTCAGAGCCAAGTCTACATTGTGACTCAACACATTAACACACATACCTGTCTTATGCCCCGTCTCTCTATATAGATGTATGCCCTATACTAGGCCTATTAAGACCAACATATACAACAGTCATATATGACTTATGAACAGCATATCTGAGGGCATGAAGTTCAACTTTCTACCAGTTGACTGAGCATGTACTTTTTCAGAATATTGTACCAACTATTTATTTACCTTTCTTGTGAAAGTGATGAAGTTTCATTTAAAATAGATTTCAACACGGGACTACATTCACGTAACAGTTGGCTATGACACTCTGAACAAGGAAATATACTACAATCTTTGCCCTCAGCCCTGAACTCTCTTTGCCAACCTCACTGCCAAATTGAGTCTTGATCTGGCTTTGGAACTGGCACTGCTATCCTTTTTCCCTCAGATGTTCTAAGCGTTTTACACTGGAAAACTATTAATTCATTTGGAAATGTTAGAGGGTCGCTCGCATCTGAACTTGAAATGGAGCTACATCGTGTAATTATGTAAGACTGGCGTAAAAATTGATTAATTCTCCAAATAGTAATGTCAGATTGTTTGGTCATGAGTTGGCAGTGTGGAGAGGCTGGCTAATGGTAAATATTGTACTGACATGCCTAATATGCCCTCAAAGGAGAATGTTACCTTGAATATGTCGTATCATATTAGATTTCAGTGATAACCGAGTTGGGTTATAAGTGACGTGTTTTTTAGCAGAAGATAGGTGGAGGAAGTCAACAACAAATATTTATGAGTCCAACAACACAATATTCTCACTTTATCACCCTCTTCTCGCTGCAGCGTTACGTGGATGGGGGGATCAGTGACAACCTTCCTCAGTCGGAGCTGAAGAACACCATCAGCATTTCTCCGTTCTCGGGCGAGAGCGACATCAGTCCCCGGGACACCTCCTTCAACTTCCACGAGCTGCGATTCACCAACACCTCCATCCAGATTAACCTGGGCAATATGTACCGCCTCAGCAATGCCCTGTTCCCCCCAGAACCCAAGGTAGGACGCCTGCTATGACTGCTTACCAATGCGTTATGCATAGCCGCAGGAAGATGTTTGGGGGTGGGGGTGCTGCGATTTTTCCGCCGAGGGGGCGGATAACGTGCTGCAGCACGTTATATATGGGTTATGAATGTGTTATGAAGTCCTTATGTAGGCCCTGTTGCCAAAGGTAGGATGGAGGATCAGGATGCTCCTTAGTCCCATTCATAAATGCCTTATGTATGGGTTATGAATGTGTTATGAAATCCTTATTTAGGTACCCTTGAAATAGTTGTTTTCCATGGTTCTAAACATTCTATACATTTCTGTGGGAGAGTGTAGTAGTCTGGTATGGGAGACTGGACACCTCATAGTTTGACCCCTGACCTCCCACTATCCTATTCCCTGATTATACAACCCCATTTCGCCCCCTACCCTGTCTCCTCTTTGGACTCTGCCTCCTACCCTTACCTCCCATACTTCCCATCTGAACTTTGCCCTCCCCTGTCCCTCCCTAACTCCATAGTGATCAATACTGGCAGGACATTATTGGCTTCTGTCCCTGTTGAATTACATTCCCTGTATTCCACATTCTTCTTCACTGTCTGGATAATAACATGGGAGTGAACTTTTAGCGTAAGACAAACTTTGCCCTCTTTGAGGTTGATCTGTGTCTCTTGGTAATAACACCGTTTTCGCTGTGTTATTATTGTTGCTGTAATCCAAGATTTGCCACCGTCTTTTCCCTTCACGTGTGCCTGGAATGTTGTGTTTTCTGGAATTTTGGGATGATGTCATCCCTGTGGTCACAAATCCCGCCAACAGAGCCATGTGCAGAGGCCCTACTTAGAATAAGTGAATAATGTGTTTTTCTTGACTCAGGAAACCTTTACATTTGACAGTGTTTACATATGACATGGACAGACACACACATAGAAAACTCCACCCTAACTTTTCCCTCACGTATAATAATTTAACCTACCCTGACTAACTTCACACATAGGTAGTGTCACTGTGAAGTTACCTGGCCAGATACCTCTCTCCCTGTGGCTTTGTTGTTGTAGGAACACACAGAATAAGGAGTAGCCAGAGAACAGAGAGAACTCTGCCACGTTGACCTTTAACACCTAGTTAAACACTTCCTGGATTGCTGTCCATTCACAAATACAGGAGCCTGTTGCCCAGGAGGGTTCAGGCTGATATAAGTAATTCCCCTCTGTTTTATGTGGTTAAAAACAGCTGTACTTGTGTAATACAGTTGTTAACTGTCAGCAATAACATGATTGCTAATCAGTCAGTGGTAGTGATAACAAATGACAAAATTAAGGTGAGATCATATATCTTGTGTGGGTATATCTGAGTCATAATGATCCTGTGATATGATTATGAGTGTCTTACATGTGTATCCTCTATCGCTTAAATATGAGCAGTATATTTATTCAATCTACCTCTTGCATATGATCCCCTACCTCAATAGGTATGATCTATGTGTTTTCTTTGGCAGGTCATGGCAGAGATATGTCAGAGTGGCTACAAGGACGCCCTTCGCTTTCTTGAGGAGAACCGTGAGTATTACTATGTTGCCTTTGACAGTAATAGTGGCAGTACTAAAATGATAAGCTACTGTGACATATATGCAGTGAGCATCAATGATGTCAATTGTACAGGGTTCAACATGAAGTATGGAGTAAACCAGCACTTATTTATTGGGGTAGTATTTTTATGCTGTGTTACAAAGATTATTCATGTATTGTTTATGATGTCAGATCTGCTGAAGCTGGAGTGTCCGACTGTCGGCCCCAACCCATCAGAAGCCATACACACCTGCTGCTGCAAGCCCATCGCCACGGAAACCACTAAGGACTGGCTGCTCCGGCGGCTCCGCCTCCTGAGGAAGCGGCACTGGTGGCTGGACGAGCAGATTGTTGACAACCTGCCTATCCAAATCAAAAAAGGTAGATAGGAGGTTAACCTAGACTTTCAGATATTTTCTGCTCAAAGCTGTTAGAAGCTGTTGTTATCTAGTTATAACATTGTGTTGTCACTGTGCTCTTGTCAGTGACATGTGGTTGTTGTGTGTATCTGAAAGTCCTCTGAGGCTGTGCGAAGTGTAACATATTGTGTGTCTATGACTGTAGTGTTCTGTGAGGCGTGCCAGCAGAAGCCTGGTCTGTATGCTAAGGTGTCCGAGATGCTGCCGGTCAGAGTGGCCTCCTACATGCTCCTGCCCTGCACACTACCTGTGGTGTCAGCCTACTCAGTGGGCAAGAGGTAAGACTACATCCTACACCACTAGTGCTACCTACCACAAACAAGCCCTCAATGAACTCAATGCGGTCACAGTAGCTCAAACAGCAACAAATGATGACAACAGTAATGCAAACAAATCAGCTTCTAAAAGCCCTGAACTAGCCTTTAGCATTACTAGCCTTTAGCATACAGTAGCCAATACCTTCAAACTATCCCTGACAGAAACCACTGACAACAAAGTAGTCATTAGCCCACCACAGCAACCAAATAACACTGGGAATGCAAACAAACTAGGAATACAAACAGGTTTCCTACTAAATGCAATCAATGTGAATGTGCTGCACAGGGACGCCAACTAGTGGGCAAGTCAATCCACCCAGGAATTGTTGAGAACTGGCCTCCCCTAGTGGTACATCACAGTACATTGACTCTGTGTTGTCCCTCTCCTGTGCTCCAGGTTTGTGGAGTGGATCCCAGAGGTGCCTGCAGACATGCGTTGGCTAGCTGGGGTGGCTGGGGATGTGGCTGGGAGCGTGTACAGACAGGCCTGGAGAGGAGCACCAGCAGACATAACCAGGTGAGAGACATGGAATTATTACTACTAGGTTATATTATGGATGGATGGAGTCTACTTGTAGATTTGTATGTCTGTCATACAGTATAAATAAAGTCTAATGGCCTTGTGTGTTTTTCTTTTTGCAGTGATGGTTCCCTGAGGAATTGCCTGAGTTTGCCTCCACCCCTGGATAGTGACAGACACAGGGAGAGAAACGGTCACCTCGCCGGGTTCGCTCTCTCTGCTCTCGACCTCCAAAGCCAATACTGGAACATCCCGACCCCACCCTCTTCCCACTGCCCCACCAGCCCCCTCATGCCCAGCCCCTCCCCACGACAGATCTGCTTCTTTGTTGGCTCGCAGGATGAGACTGACTGACAGACCCACGCACCAATGAGAGGACACTGTGACTTTGTTTTAAAAGATGATAGGACAGTCCAGCTCAAGATACCTCCCACAGGGCCTGTCTATAGGCTATAGGAACTGTGAAGGGTGGTTTGGGATGGACAAATGATGGTCATGTGATTGAATAGCTTTGGGATCCAGAACTGCTATAGACACACTAATGACTCAATCATGTCTTTTGATCACTCCACCAATCACATTTTATTCTATTGTACACATTGGAAAACAATGTACCAGCTCACCACCAAAGACCTCTGCAAGTGAATTCCTTTTTGAAATTATACATTTTATAACTATGTCTAGTTTTACCAGATAACTTGTTGTCACTACAACTCTTAACTACCTACCTACTTACTTACCTACCTCCCTACCTACAGTACCTACCTACCAGAAGAAGCTGGTGGCAGGAGCTATAGGAGGATGGGATCATTGTGATGGCTGAAATATAATAAATGGAACAGTATCAAACATATGGAAACCACATGTTTGACTCCGTTCCAAATCATCCATTCCAGCCATTACAATGAGCCCATCCTCCTATAACTCCTCCCACCAGCCTCCTCTACTACCTACCTACCTGCAGTACACAGGAGGTTAGTAGCACCTTAATTGGGGAGGACAGGCTTGTGGTAATGGCTGGAGGCGGAATAAGTGGAATGTTATCAAATACATCAAACATGGTTTCCATGTGTTTGATGCCATTCCATTCGCTCTGTTCCAGCCATTATTATGAGCCGTCCTCCCCTCAGCAGTCACCTTTGCTACAGTACCTACCTACCTTTGTTCAGTTAAATGTAGCATTCATTCATCATTCCTAACGGACTGTTGACCTTACTTGACGTTGACTTCCTTGACTATGAGCTTTGTGTTTTCCTGACTACTATTAGACAGGACCCTTGCACTGAACTATGAACTACTGTGATGAGCTGTGATGTGAAGAAGTTTGAATCACAATATTCTTGAACGTGCCTTTCCGAACTTCTCTCAATGTTGACCATAGCTTTTGCACAATTATTTGAGTTGCATATGATTCACAATTTTAATATGGCATCTTCAAATGGGTGATTTTCATGAAACCACTGTGAAAACCTCTGCCTACTTGTTCCTTTTATCCTTTACTGTTGTTATTGCAGAGTTGGCCCTTATCTTAATAACATAAAGCACAACACCAGTTTTTATGATGTGACATTCTGTCTTTAAATATACTGTAACTGTTAAAATCCTATTGTGCCTCAACCATCAATATGCGCTAAGATCCCCCACACACTGATCTCAATTGCAACCACTATTGGCCACAATATTACCACTCCCTAAAGCTTATGTCTGTGTATACTTGAAGTCCTGGTTGCTGCCAAAACATTTCAAGACTATTTAGCCCTCTGGTGAGTATTATCTTCGGTATAAATTAAACCTAATAATTGAGCAGACTAAGCACAGATTTTACTATTTGAAAATCATTCCGTACAATTGAAATTAGGTATTTCCTCGTTTACCACAGAGAATCTACTGTGGCAATTTACTCTACACATTTTATGAACGTAAAGCTTGTGTTGCTATACTTACTTTCATTTCCAATTAATGTAATCCATTAATAAAAACGTGTATTAATACAGTATGGTCATTTAGTCAAATAGTATGAAGTACAGCAGAAGTTTGTTAATAATGTCACTAGCATAGTCCATGTACACTAAAAGTTCACTTGAACTATGGTGTACTCTTTCAGTACTTCAATACAGACTTTCATTAAACTTTGTTCTTTGTCTTTTATTTCAGTGCATTTATATGGTGTTGAAGTACATTACATTGTAGTGTATTTGTTGTTATACTAAATCACATTTTATAGGGTATGAATAACATGTTTGTGACATTAACACACTTCTGCTGTACTTGAGAATAACTCTCAGGTACCTTTTAATTGTGTATAAAGTACACCTCAAATAATGATTTACAAGTCCTGTATAAAACTCCCCCTACTCTGGAGGGGAGCCTGCCCCTTATTGGCCTCCAAACATTACGTCTTGCAACGGAAACCAGTGCTGAGCGATTAGTGATTAGTGACTTTTGAGGTCGGTTCAGTTTTGGTTCGATTATTAAAAAATAATCACGGTTTTCGTTTTCGATTAGTTTTTTAGACATTAAATGCACTATGCATTATGTGGGTAGAATGCTGTAACAACACTGAATAACACAATTAATAAAAGTCCCATGATGGTAGTGAAAAAAAGCACTGCTTATCACTTATTAACCATCATTTATTCACATTACTTTACTTTAATAAAATATTTGTTTTATTTGATTACTTTATTATTTCCCTGTGTAGCTCAGTTGGTAGAGCATGGCGCTTGCAACGCCAGGGTTGTGGGCTCGTTTCCCACGGGGGGCCAGTATGAAAAAATGTATGCACTCACTAACTGTAAGTCGCTCTGGATAAGTGCGTCTGCTAAAATGACTAAAATGTAAAACATTTCATTCCAATTCATCATCATCTCTTTAGAGCTGCTGCCAGTGGCGGCTGGCCGATAGAGGGCGCTAGGGCGCCGCCCCCTTAAATAAAATTATTTTAAAAAATAAAATAAAAAATAAATAAAAATAATAATAATAATAATAAAAACATCAGTATTTCAATATTTGTGTGTTTGAAATATGGAATGCACACAGTAATATGTGTAAGATATGATAGAAAATCATATTCGCAACCTTTCCTCTGCCTGTCAAACGCCTCGTCAGCTCTGGGCGATACAGAAAGTGCCCCGAGGAGGCGGGTCTACGTAGCAGTTAAGCCAATTGCTAATTTAAGATATGAATGTATGACATAAAATGTAGCCAATCAGCGATCTTAAATCGAATCCAAGGAGGGCGATTATTTTATCGCCCCAAGCTCGCCCCTGATAAAATAAGGACCGGGCTCCAGTGGCGCCATTTTTACTAGACGACAATGGCGAGCGCAAACGTTACTCCTCCAAGACCCAACCCTAACTCGGTGAAATCTCTCCTCCAAGATCCGTTTGAGAGGAGAACTTTGTCAGAGAAAGTTCGGGTGAAAGAGCTGGGCCCAGATCAACCTGACCTCTCAATCAGACAGCAGGCTAGCGAGAAAGGGAAGCAGTATATGCGCGGCTTCTCCCGTAGGTGGTACACCAGGAAGGCTTGGCTAGCTGGGTGCACTGATGCTAATGCTTTATTTTGCTTTCCGTGCTTGCTTTTTAAAACGACGGGGTCAGATTCAGCATGGACAGGTACCGGAGTGAGGGATATGAAGCACCTGTCAGAGAAGGTAAAGAAACATGAGAACACCAGGGCACACATGGACAACTCTGTAAAGCTAGCTGTATTAGGAAGGGTGAACATTGCTACGCAGCTGGATGACGGCCACAGGATTGCGGTGAGGAAACACAATGAGGAGGTGGATAAAAACAGGCACATTCTATCCAAAATTATCGATTGTGTGAAGTTCTGTGGGGCTTTTGAGTTGGCCTTGCGTGGGCACGAGGAGACTGACTCCTCGGACAACCCCGGCATTTTCCGGGGCTTAATGGATTTTGTTGCCTCCCTCGACAGTGTGCTGGAGGAGCACCTGAAGACAGCTACCGTTTTTAAGGGCACGTCAAAGACGATACAGAACGAGCTGTTGGACTGTATGCTGTCAGTGCTTAAGGATTACATCCTGGAGGAAGTAAAGAGTGCTGATTTTATCGCCATTCAAGCTGACGAGACGACTGACGTTTCCACCCACTGCCAGTTGGTGCTTGTGATACGCTACATCGATGCTAAAAGTAACGTCCAAGAGCGTTTTTTCGAGTTCATTTTGATCGAGAACGCAACCGCCGACACCATCGCTACAGCGCTGCTGGAGAGGCTCAGCACCATACTCTCACATGGACAAAAGGCCAAACTTATTGCCCAGGCTTACGACGGAGCAAGTGTGATGAGGGGAGCCACCGGCGGAGTGTAGCGTAAAATAGTGGATGTGTACGAAAATGCGCACTACGTCCACTGCTATGCACATCAGCTGAACCTCATCATGCAGCAGGCTACTTCACGCATCCCCAGGATCGGCACTTTCTTTTCCGACCTTGCAGGATTTTCTGCTTTCTTCTCCAGGTCTCCCAAGCGAACCACCGTGCTTGACGAAGTGGTTGCGCATAGACTCCCCAGAGCCTCTACAACACGGTGGAACTTCCACAGTCGCGCTGTAAACACTGTGTACGAGTACAGGGATGACCTCCTAATGTGTTTCCAGACCATCAGAGACTCTGGGAACTTTGATGCCCCGACTGTCAGAGAGGCGGGGGGCTTTGTGAGGATGCTCGAAGACGAGGCTTTCTGTTTTTTCCTGGCACTGTTCCACAAGATCATGCCAAATGTGGACATGCTTTTCAGCCAGCTGCAGAAGAGGAACATCGACCCTGTCTTCATTAAAACACTTGTCCAGAGGTTCACAGACAGCATGCTAACAATCAGGTAAATAACTATATTTACTATTGGCTGATAAAGATGTTGTTAGAAAGATGAATAGTTCACTTACAACAGTTTAAAAGCCTAAATGTGTCTGGTCATCAAAGTGAGTGATTATCATAGAGCCGTCACAATTATATTTGTTTTAGTATTTTAAAAGGAAAGAGAAGACACAATCAGACGTTGATAATAATGCAGGAAAGTACTACACAGTTTGTAATAATTATTCAGGTGTCCAACAGGTCAATTTCTAGAAGAGGCCTAGTTGTTATTGAAGATTAACTTTATTGCTAAGTGCACAGCAGAACAAAATGATGTTGCATCCCTCTCACAAATGTAATAGAAAAAGGCTTTAAAACGTAATAACATCAGTTAATTATGTACATCACAGGTTAAAAGCAGTTACTAGACATAGTTTGTGTGTATATACACACTATATGTCTGTCTGTCTGTCTGTCTATATATATATATATATATATATATATATATATAAGTCACTGGTTGTGTGTTGAGGGGGAATTACAGTGAGTTAAGAAGTCTGATTGCAAGTTATCAAATTAAACTTTATTTTTTGGACCCAGGGCCTCAATTCCCTCTTTGTGTGGGGACAGCGCATCTGACGAGCAGCAACAGCCCATCAAGCGACGGAGGATGCTGGGACCAGGAGAACAACAGAGGTTGGCTATAGAGGTAAGTTGTGATGTAATTGTCAGTGTTTCCCCCTATAACTTTTTTCAGGCCTGGTAGTATGTAGCCAAAACCCTGAACAATCAGCACCTTGGTAATCATATACTTGAGTTGGACATAGGCATGTGTCAGTCAGGATCACTTGCATCAAAATAGCTTAATTGCAAATTAAAGCTGATGATGTATCTTTTACAGGTATGTGATACCATCCTGAGTCATGCCAAAGAGAGGTTCTCCTTCACCCAGCACCTCATCAGCGCAACACTATTGCACGGAGAGTTGTTCCCACAACACAGTGTGAAGTTCCCCGATACAGCGCTTGAAACAACCGTGGAGGCGTACCCCATGTTGAACAAGGCCAAGCTCAAAACCGAACTGTCCCTCATCTATGAGAACAGTGAGTTCAAGGCTTGTAGTGGTGCAGTGCCCCTGTACCAGTTCTTCATGGAGAACAACCTTCAGAGCACTTTCACAGAGACTGCCAGCCTCCTCAAGATCCTCATCACCACACCCATGACAACTGCTGAGTCAGAAAGGTGCTTCTCTACACTGAAAAGGATCAAGACCTTCCTGAGAAACAGCATGACACAGGATCGCCTGAACGCTCTGGCCATGCTCTCCATGGAGAAGAAACTTGTCAGGGACATTCCTGACTTTAATCAAAGGGTCATTGAGAGGTTTGCCACTCAGAAGGACAGACGGGCAAAATTCCTGTACAAATAAGATGACAGACACACACACACAGAGCAGCTCTGGCCGCATGTTTCTTTGTATATAGTTGACCTTAGCATAAAAAATCCAGTTATATATGGAACTCTAGAAAGTCTTAATAGTGTCTTTGCTAATATTACTGTATATATGTTGTTTTGTATCAATTAATTGTTGCAGTTCTGGAGCACATTAACAATTAGTCACATTTAGTATGATCATAAAATACTGTATGCTATTCTTCCAGTCAAAGGTTTGAGTTCATCCACTTGATATCCATTTCTATATTATACATCCTTTTATACAGTGTAAGATTTCCTATAAACTTTATAATAATTTCATGTTATTGTCCACTTTCCACTCTGTTCTGACAGCATGCCTGTTGCGTTGCCTGTTTACTACCAATGGTGAAAAGTTCACTTTAAATGCAAATGAAAGGCTTGGGTTTGTGTAATATGTTTTTGTGTAAGAATGCCTCAACTTTTTAATATTGGCATTAAATAATTACTGAATGTTTCACTGAGCACTGCTGTCCTGCAGTTTGTGTTAAAATATATCGCGATGGTTACAGGGAAAAAAAAGTATGGCACAGCCCCACCGAGAATATTTTTCACCAGCCGCCACTGGCTGCTGCCTATGCTGTCTGACAATATCATTATTTTAGTAGTTCTTCAAAGTAAATAAGGCATACTTTTATGAATACCAACTATTAGATAATGTATTTTCAGGCTTGCGAAGCAACTGCTTTTTATTCCTCTGGATCGTGCATTCTCTCTTCTCTCAGTGTCTGCTCCACACAGACCGGACAAGTTTAAGCGGGCGCGCAATGGATTATGGTAATTGTAGTTATTTACCAAGTTTTCTGGCTAAACTATGTAGAATATTGGCCTGTTGGAAACTACAACTCCCTACTACATCACACAGTTCAGGCTTAATCTGATTTAACTCTACAGAAACTACATATCGAGCTCACAAAAAAAGAAAAAAAAGAAAAATAGTTGAACAGATGTCGGTCAATTAGTTGTTTAAAAACCGAAAAATAACCGACATTTAGGTTAATCGCTCAGCACTAACGAAAACGTTTACCAAACATAACAAACAGAACAAACGGAACGAAATGGGGAGGGACCTACTTACATTTGTCCATTAGAAACTCTCGTTTAAGTTACAAAATGTTTTCCGTTTGGAGTAAACGGTTTCTGTTGAAAAACGTTTAACAACAGACGTTTTGCAACAGAATTGGCGTAATGAATACACCCCAATTGGTCCTTTCCGGTCCTCTCGCTGTTCATTCCATAGAGATAGATATACTCTAGTGGCCAAAAGCCTGTAACGGTATGTGCAGCGCCATTGAGGACTTTCACCATTCCTTAACACCCAATGGGTTAAGGGATGATCACATAATTCCATCTAGGTCACCAGGAGGGATAAACCAATGAATTACACTTGTGAGCAAACATTCCATAACTGCAGGTGGAAGTAAATTGCCAAACTAGGCTTTATAGGCTACCTGTTCAAACAAGGTGGCAGTGTACACCCAGTTTGTTTGCCAACTCATAGAAGTAGTAGAAGAAGAAAATGGACTACTTCAAAATGGAGATGGAATCAATGGCGCTGCCCATGGTCTAGTTTCCATAGCCACAAAGTCCTAAACCCTGCCTATTTCTACAATTTATCTTCTTAAAATGTGATTTTAAACGTAACCTTAACCACACTGCCAACATAATGCCTAACACTAAACTTAAATTAAGACCAAAAAGCAAATTTCTTTTTTAATACATTTTTACTACATAACCAATTTTGACTTTGTGGCTCTGCTAGTGGAAACCGCTGCCCATGCATGCTCTAACACAGGGTTTCCCAAACCTTTTCACTCTGGGCCCTCCTTCCAGCATTGGGGAACATCCCGTGTAGGGCACACGCCACGTCTATTTCTATGGGCACAGGCACTGCTCATGACACAAACTGTTCACAGCCCTCTTGTTTGTGGAGAGAATCTTGCAGGTTTAAAGCTTATTTCCTGCAATTGTACACATTTTGTCATGGGGTGTAAATAAAATTCTGCCGTTTTAAAGCTACATTTCTTGCAATTCTATACATTTTGCCATGTCTAATGTGTATTCATGTGATATTTGCGCGCCCCACAGTTTGGGAACCGCTGCTCTAACAGACGCCATAATGGGACAGATACAATGATGAGATGTCTAAGTCTGTGGTTCGTTCTAGAAATTTCCAATAATGCACCGCGTGCTGAGCTGTCAGATCTCCGGGACTACCCCGTAGTTCCGTACACACTTGTTATTATATGCCTCAGTAATACACACGCGTACGGTGAAAGATGGAGCAGCCAAACACGGAACCTAACACAAACGTTATGAATGGCGAGGATGGACATTTCAATACCTTCCTCTCTTTGCACTCCGCTGCACTACAGTCCTCAAGAATCCCACCGCTGTATTGGAAGAGCTTGTACTACAAACTTATCAACGAGGTCGGTAGCATAATGGCTAAAGCTACATATAGCCCTTGATCATGACTCTCAGTTCCATTACGTTACACATAAGTAAGGGAGTAGTTTTGTTAAGATGCCCGACGCTCGGTCTGAACATTAACATGCATCGCTTGCGGTACGGTTTTGGAAGCATAAGGACCTTATCTTTCAAATCAGTGATAAATAATAAAAAGGTAAAATTGATACACACCTTGATAGGGATTAGTGTTCCCACACGGCCATATCTTCACGTTACAGCGCTTGTTTACGGAAAAGAAGACAAAAGGCGACCACCTGTGATAATTCACTATCTAGCATGCTCCGAACACCTATGTGTAAACATAACTCGGGAAGTGTAGTTTCGTATGGCTGTGCCAGTAACCGAAAGGTCGCTGGTTCTAATCCCCGAGCCGACTAGGTGAAAAATATGTCAATGTGCCCTTGAGCAAGGCACTTAACCCTAATTGCTCATGTAAGTCGCTCTGGATAAGAGCGTCTGCTAAATGACTAAAATGTATATGGACCCATGGCTATATGGACCCATAGCTATATGGATCTGTGCAAAATTGCTACAGTAAGTGTATCTTTTTTATTTGAAAGGTTATTTTTCGCTGATGAAAGATAAGGGTCATATGTTTCAAAGTGCTTCTACACCTGCATTACTAGCTGTTTGGGGTTTTAGGCTGGGTTTCTGTACAGCACTTCGAGATATTAGCTGATGTAAGAAGGGCTATATAAAATAAAATTGATTGATTGATTGATATCAAAAGCGATCATTATTGATGTTTCTAAATGTTAAAATCAAAGATGTGTATAAACCCTGGATAACAGACAGGGCGCTGTATTGAACCCACTGTGCAGCCATCTTGATACTCCCCAATGTAAAAATGATTTTGGAAGCTACAGAAATGCATTTATTAATGTCTACATTAGTTTTTTCATTAGTTTTTTCTATTACAGACACCTTAATGCATAGGCTACTTTTCAATTATATTATGTGAGCTAAACATAAAAATGAAAAAATATATACAAACATTTTCCTTAATGTATTTTTTAGAGAGTACTAATGTTACCGTCCCCACTACAACAACAAAAATACTTAAATACATGTCATTTTGTCCTTTTAATTGAAATACTGTAGAATTCCATTCATTCCTATGGAGGACTGCTCCTACTGGGGAGTGCTAAAATGGCTGACCGGTGGCTTCAAAGCCTCTCAATCAATTAAAATAAAATTGTATTGGTCACATACAGATATTTAGCAGATGTTATTGCGGGTGTAGCGAAATGCTTGTGTTTCTAGCTCTAACAGTGCAGTAGTATCTAACAATTCACAACAACACACACAAATCTAAAAGTAGAACGCCTCTCAATCAATTAAAATAAAATTGTATTGGTCACATACAGATATTTAGCAGATGTTATTGCGGGTGTAGCGAAATGCTTGTGTTTCTAGCTCTAACAGTGCAGTAGTATCTAACAATTCACAACAATACACACAAATCTAAAAGTAGAACGATGGAGTTAAGAAATATATAAATAATAGGACAAGCAATGTCGAAGTGGCATAGACTAAAATACAGTAGAATAGAATACAGTATATACATATGGAGATGAGTAAAGCAAAAATATGTAAACATTATTAAAGTGGCTAGTGTTCCATTATTAAAGTGGATCATCAGAGGAGGATCATCCTTCTCATTGAATTTCATAAAAATAGTGAAACATTAAAGTGATTATTTTTAGATAAAACTATACTGAAAAAATATATAAATGCAGCATGCAACAATTTAATTGATTTTACTGAGTTACAGTTCATATAAGTTGGTCACAGATACCTTTTTAAAAAATGGGCCTCACAATGGGCCTCAGGATCTCATCACGGTATTTTTGTGCATTCAAATTGCCATTGATAAAATGCAATTGTGTTTGTTGTCCGTAGCTTATGCCTGCCCATACCATAACCCTACCGCCACCACGGGGCACTCTGTTCACAATGTTGACATCAGCAAACCGCTCGCCCACATAACGCCATACACATGGTCTGTGGTTGTGAGGCTTGTTTGACGTACTGCCAAATTCTCTGAAATGACGGTGGAGGCGACTTATGGTAGAGAAATTAACATTAAAGTATCTGGCAACAGCACTAGTGGGCATTCCTGCAGTCAGCATGCCAATTGCACGCTCCCTCAAAACATGAGACATCTGTGGCATTGTGTTGTGACAAAACAGCACATTTTAGTGGCTTTTTATTGTCCCCAGCACAAGGTGCACCTGTGTAATGATCCTGCTGTTTAATCAGCTTCTTGATATGCCACGACTGCCAGGTGGATGGATTATCTTGGCAAAGGAGAAATGCTCACTAATAGGCATGTGTGCCCAAAATGAGAGAAATAAGCTTTTTGTGCATATGGAACATTTCTGGGATCTTTTATTTCAGCTCATGAAACATGGGACCAACACTTTACATGTTGTGTTTATATTTATTGTTCAGTGTAAATATTCATGTCACCTTATAACTGATTAAAACACACGGTTTTGTAATGAAGGTCTACAGTATCCTCAATAGCACTCTCTAGGTTAGCACCATGGTGTAGCCAGCCAGAGGACAGCTATTTGTAGTCCTCCTCTGGGTACATTGACTAAAATCCAAACCAAGGAGGCTCATGGTTCTCACCCCCTGACATAGACTTGCACAGTAATTATGACGACTTCCGGAAGACTTCCTCCAACTTATCAGAGCTCTTGCAGCATGAACTGACATGTTGTCCATCCAATCAAAGGATCAGAGAAAAATTCTAGTACTAAAAACATAAGGTACAGCTAGCTAGCACTGCAGTGCATCAAATGTGTTGAGTAGTTGACTCAGAAAGACAATAGTTGAATAGTTTTGAAGAGCTATATTTCATTGTTTTTTTTCACCTTCACTCACTTAGCTAGCTAATGCATCTAATTTAGCCTACTCAACAACCTGACTCAAAACGAGAGGAATGCTATTTATGTTAGCTAGCTGGCTAAGGCTATCCAACACTGCAACTCTTCCAAATCAAGGTAAGCTTTCGGTTTTATTAATTTGTTGCCACCGGGTCCTACCAGTGTGAATGCTAAACTGCTTGCTGTATGCTGTACTGCGAGTTTGTTCACATGGATTGGATTGTGGGTTTACTAACGTGTTAGTTCTGGTAGCTATGTTGAGTGAAGTTAGCTAATGTGGTGACAACGATGTAGGCGCTGTGTAGCGGTTAACTGTTATGGTATGAAAGTTTGGCTTGGAGAGGTTTTTTCGCCTGGTCACAGACAGCTATTGTGTTGTGCACTGAAGTCCACAAGTGAGAGGAAAAGGTGAGAGGAAGAGAGAGCGTAGATGCGAGAACGGAATCATATAACGAGCAAAGTGATGATGCTGTTTGTATGTGGCTGCTATGAAATTGAACTGTGTTTGCGGGTGATCAGGGGTGTATTCATTCCTCTGATTCTGTTGAAAAGGTTTCTTAAACAGAAGCAAACGGAACGAAATGGGGATGGACCTACCTGAATTTGTCCAATAGAAACTCTCGTTAGTGTTTAGACTAATGATTACACCTTAGATTAGCTAGATGCAGGCAAGAGTGTGCAAGGCGGTATTGAACTTGTCACTGTCTGTCACCTTGATTATTCCAATTTGTCTCTCGACCTGTGCACCTACAGTGCATTCGGAAATTATTCAGACCCCTTGATTTTTGCCACATTTTGTTACATTACAGCCTTATTCTAGAATGGATTAAATAGTTTCCCCCCCCTCATCAATCTACACATAATACCCCATAATGACAAAGCAAAAAGTATTCAGACCCTTTACTCAGTACTTTTGTTGAAGCAACTTTGGCAGCAATTACAGCCTCAAGTTTTTTTGGGTATGACACTACAAGCTTGGCGCACCTGTATTTGGGGAGTTTCTCCCATTCTTCTCTGCAGATCCTCTCAAGCTCTGTCAGGTTGGATGGGGAGCGTCGCTGCACAGCTATTTTCAGGTCTCTCCAGAGATGTTAGATCGGGTTCAAGTCCGGGCTCTGGTTGGGCCACTCAAGGACATTCAGAGACTTGTCCCGAAGCCACTCCTGTGTTGTCTTGGCTGTGTGCTTAGGTTCGTTGTCCTGTTGGAAGGTGAACCTTCACCCCAGTCTGAGGTCCTGAGCGCTCTGGAGCAGGTTTTCATCAAGTATCTCTCTGTACTTTGCTCCGTTCATCTTTCCCTCAATCCTGACAAGTCTTATAGTCCCTGCCGCTGAAAAACATCCCCACAGCATGATGCTGCCACCACCATGCTTCACCGTAGGGATGCTGCCAGGTTTCCTCCAGATGTGACGCTTGGCATTCAGGGTAAAGAGTTCAATCTTGGTTTCATCAGACCAGAGAATCTTTAGGTGCCTTTTAGCAAACTCCAAGCGGGCTGTCATGTGCATTTTACTGAGGAGTGGCTTCCGTCTGGCCACTCTACCATAAAGGCCTGATTGGTGGTGCTGCAGAGATGGTTGACCTTCTGGAAGGTTCTCCCATCTCCACAGAGGAACTCTAGAGCTCTGTCAGAGTGACCATCGGGTTCTTGGTCACCTCCCTGACCAAGGCCCTTCTCCCCCGATTGCTCAGTTTGGCCGGGCAGCCAGCTCTAGGAAGAGTCTTGGTGGTTCCAAACTTCTTCCATTTAAGAATGATGGAGGCCACTGTGTTCTTGGGGACCTTCAATGCTGCACAAATGGTTTGGTACCCTTACCCAGATCTGTGCCTCGACACAATCCTGTCTCGGAGCTCTACGGACAATTCCTTCAACCTCATGGCTTGGTTTTTGCTCTGACATGCACTGTCAACTGTGGGACCTTATATACAGGGGTGCACATAACTTTTTCAGTGAGTTACTCAGGTGAGTACCAGCAGATGGTGTCTGGTACTCACCCCATATGTAGCGTGGTCTTAATAAGTGCAGTCTTCCTCACTGTCCTCCTCAGTGCCGCCACCACTGTCCTCCTCAGTGCCGCCACCACTGTCCTCCTCAGTGCCGCCACCACTGTCCTCTTCAATGTCGCCCCCACTGTCCTCTTCTTCAGCTTCCTCCATTGTAGATGATGAAGATGCTGCAGATGCACCTCCCTGTCTTTGGTTAAGCCTCTGATTAGCTGTCTCCATCCACAGGTCAACAGCAGGCTTTGGGTCAAATGTCTCTGTGGTCTGCTTTGACAGGTGAATGTGCATCAGGGCTGAGAGACAAGCATGTGACAGACGAGATCTGTACTTGGTTTTTATTATGTTGAGATGTGAGAATCCCCTCTCCCAAGCTGCACTGCTTAAAGGCAGTGTAAGAGACAGCTTAACCACCTTATTGATGTTTAAGTAAGCATCTGGGTTACTTGTATTTACTATTTGGACCAAGTCATACACAGAAGAGGCTCCCAAGCGTTTTCCTGCCTGCTTTAAGCGCATCCATTCTGTCACAGTGGTATCTTTGTCAAGTTGCAAGGTGGCCTCATATTTCTTGAGAATGCTGCAAACTGTTGTGTTTCCAAAACTGTGGAGGTCTTGCATTTCCTGAGGCCATGTTGAAGGATCAAATAGTAAGAAATTATCACATGACTTGAGGGAGTCATCTGATTTCAAACTCTTCAATTAACCCCCTGAGTAAGTGTGTCTTGTCTCTGTCAGCATCAGCATTGGAAACAGTGTGTGCCCTGTGGCTTTCACCATCAAGCAGAAGTGTGAACTGTCCAATGGCCACCATGAGTTCATCCTTACATTCTCTAATGGTCAGCTTTTCTTTCTGAAATCTAATGGATGTGGTCTTCAAAATGTTGCAAATGTCAAGCATGTTTGACAGAAAGCACTGAAAACGCTCTGTGCAGATATGCTGCAAGTCACTGTTTTCACTCGTAACCAGTTGCATTTTAATGGCTGGCAATAGTCTTGATATTTTTAACAGTGTTTCATGCCTCCATGCAGACCATCTGATATTATGAAACATACCCAGTTTCACAAAGGAGATCCCATTTTCTTCACATAGCTTATTCAGTGCAGCAGTTTTTTTTGCTCCACCTTCTTGTAAATAGAACTGCAGCAGCTTGACCACAGAGCGATTAAATGTCTCACAGTAAGGAACGTTGCGATCAGCTGATTTCGCGCAATTCTCCAGTGTGTGTGCGGTGCACAGAATGTGCAGAAGGGAGTCTCCAACCGCAGCAAGTTTCCGGAGTTTTGGCACAACGCCGTTGTAGATTGACAGCAGCCCCGTCTGTGCACACAGCGACCAACTTTGTTGTCCAGGCATCCAAGCCTGTGTCCTGGAAAAGTCTCACAAGTCCATCTGTTATGGCCTGCGCGGTTCGGTCAGCACCCAATTCAATCAGTCCAATAAAGTCCGAAGTAAACTCTCCGTTGCTGGACACAGACACAATGTAAACGATTTCCTGCTCAGTTTTTGTGATGTCCTCAGATCCATCAAAAAGCAGCCCCCAAAATTCAGCAGACTGCAACTTGGCTCGGAACTCCCCGATGATGGTGTGAGCGATGCTCTGCATGATCCGTGTGCCCCCTTCACGTGAATGATATGCACCTCCGACATTTACTCCTAGCCGCTTCAGTAAAGGAACATCCTCAGAATAGGAAGACATGGGACGTGCGTGTTTAGCTTTATGGAAGGCGAGGAGAAAAATATTAAACAGAGCTTGCCGCTGTTCTTCATTCAGCTTGTCTCACCATCTGGCAAGTGGGCGACTGGACATTTCTTCTCAGCTAGCTTAGCAATGGCTTGCGCCACATTCGTGTGCTCCTTGCTCTTTTCATGTTTGTCAAATAAAGGATGGTTGAAATTCTTTGAGCCTTTATAAAATGCACCCGTTTTGTCTGCTAGATGTGGATTTGAGCGGCAAATCTTGCACCACATTTCAGTGCGCTCATCGTTAGCTTCAAGCCACTGCACATCTTGGAGCCACTTTTCCGAAAAAAAGTATTTTCTTCGGCTCTGGCTCCAGTTGGCGTTTCTTTGTAGGTGGCGAAACGCCAAAGAAGCTGCTTAATGTCTGTTGCTTTTTGGACATCCCTGACAGTAGTTGACAAGCAACATGTCATGTGTAAGGTTAGATGAGAAGATCGGTCAAGTACGCAAAGGCGCGTAGTAACACAAGTGGCATTACGCATTCCTGATTTATGTCGCGCTTGCGTACCTGCGTACCAGTTATGTGCTAATATAGACAGGTGTGTGCCTTTCCAAATCATGTCCAATCAATTGAATTTACCACAGGTGGACTCCAATCAAGTTGTAGAAACATCTCATGGATGATCAGTGGAAACAAGATGCACCTGAGCTCAATTTCGAGTCTCATAGCAAAGGGTCTGAATACCTATGTAAATAAGGTGTTTTGTTTTGTTTTGTATTTTTAATACATTTGCCGAAATTTCTAACAACCTGTTTTTGCTTTGTCATTATTGTGTAGATTGAGGAATTTTTTTTATTCAATACATTTTAGAATAAGGCTGTAACGTAACAAAATGTGGAAAAGGTCAAGGGGTCTGAATACTTTCCGAATGTGCTGTACGTTATAAACCTTCATTTGTAGGCTAGGTTGTAGCAACCTCATGATGGGTATTGGGGAAATGTGAGTATCATGTAGTAGCCTAAACCTATCAATGTAACATTGAGCTGGGTGAATGGAATATGAATGACTAATTCAATGTAATGTGATTTAAAAATGCTAATTTGAAGAAGAAAAAAGAATCCTCCCTAATCTTAAACGGCCCAACCTCCACTGGAGCTAGGCTAGATAATATTAGCTACGGCTCAGTATCAGATCCAATGCCTGTCTGATTGAATGGTTTGCATGTTTAACAGTTGTTTTTAATGCAATTTCAATGTTATTCTGTGCGTGCAGTTTAATTATGTTATTTAATTGGGTTTTATAGTTATCTGACTAGCCTACCTAAATCTGCCCTCGCTGTTCGGTTCTAGGTGTACGATGCAGGAGAAGTGTTTGGCATCATGCAGGTACAACAGGACGATGAAGAAGGAGATGAAGAGAGAAAGAAGGCTTGTCCTAGTGGAGAGATTACGTGTAAAGTGGTTGTGACCAGGGGGACTGGCATGCAAGCCTCAGATGCCACCAGGTGAGGGCGCTTTAGTCATAATAAATAACCACCTGTTGTTCACCATCTCATGCAAGTCACCCCCTCACTTTTTCACAGAGATATGCAGTTGATTTTTTATGTTCTCAAGGTCAAGAGCACAGAATGTTTTTATAAGTAGGTGTAAAACTACGGCTAGTATTGTATAAAGTGGATACACTTATTTTTTTAGCGCTTAGGCCAACCCATTTTTTTACACATCCCAGAGACATACTAGCAGTCCACCTCCCTCTACATCTCGTTCATTCTTCGCCTGCCCTGCCTCCTAATCACTTCCTCTTCCATCTCCCTATCCTTTACCTCTTCTCCTCTAATCCCTCCATCCTCCAGTATCTTCCTGGTTGACCATGCATGGACATACCGTGTGGAGAGCTCCAGGCAGCAGCTAGAGCAGATCCCCGGCCTTCTACCCAGGATGGCTTCCCTCATGGGGCTTGACTTCCACGGAGAGGCTCCTGACCCAAACGTTGTGGAGCTGGTGCTGAAACAAATGTGGAAGTACAACCAGACGTACCAGCTGGCCCAGGGGGTATGAGTACTCTCTCTCTCTCTCTCTCACACACGCACACTATTTTTTTCTGTCTCTCTAACCCCCCCCTTCCTGTGTGTGTGTGTCCAGTCAGCAGAGGAAAAAGTGCCCGTCTGGTACATCATGGATGAGTTTGGCTCCCAGGTGCAGCACTCTGACCAGCCTACCTGTTGCATGGCCCCCTTCTTCTACACACAGGGCCAGCTGGCCTACACTGTGCTCTGGCCTCTCACAGACCTGCAGGAGGGAGGTATAGACACTCATGAGCGTGTGCATATATATACACACACACTTATTCACAGTGTAGGGCTCTGAGTCTTGATGAATACCGAGAACAAAACGACAAACACTCCAATTAAAGATTTTATAAATGACCAGCCGTGAAGAGTTGTATACGAGAAGCATACAAGCTTTAACACACATGGATCTCAATCACCACTTGATATACATTAGAGAGAGGGGAGTTTCCTCAACCTATGGAATCCATGCAATGGTAATCATAATAAATCTCAATGACAGAAGGAAATATAAACGCAAAAAAATATAAACGCAACATGCAACAATTTCAAAGATTTGACTAAGTTACAGTTCATATAAGGAAATCAATCAATTGAAACGCCATAATCTATGGATTTCACATGACTGGGAATACAGATATTAATCTGTTGGTCACAGATACCACATTAAAAAAATTTAGGGGCGTGGATCAGAAAACCAGTCAGTATCTGGTGTGACCACCATTTGCGTCATGCTCCTCTTCAATGGCTGTGCGAAGTTGCTGGATATTGGCGGGAACTGGAACATGCTGTCGTACAAGTCCATCCAGAGCATCCCAAACATGCTCAATGGGTGACATGAAAATAACATGGCTAGAAACATAGAAAATAAGATGGCTATGTATAGGGAGTACCAGTACTGAGTGGATGTGCCAGGGTACGAGGTAATTGAGCTAGCTATGTACTGTACATATAGGTAGGAGTAAAGTGACAGAATAGATAAGACTGTGCCAGCAGCATAAGTGAAAATGTGTGTGTGTGTGGCGTCAGTATGTGTGTGCTTGTTATGTGTGTGTTGGGATGTTAGTGTGCAGTGCCTTCAGAAAGTATTTACACCCTTTTACTTTTTCCACATTTTATTGTTACAACCTGAACTTAAAATTAATTAAATTGAGATTTTGGGTCACAGGCATACACACAATACCCCATAATTTTTTTACAATAAAATAAAATGAAAAGCAGAAATGTCTTGTCAATAAGTATTCAACCCGTTTGTTACGGCAAGCCTAAATAAGTTTAGGGGTACAGAATTGCTTAACAAGTCACAGAGTAAGTTGCATGGACTCACTCGGTGTGCAAAGCGTTACAGCATTTGAGCATGGTGATGTTATTAATTACACTTTGGATGGTCTATCAATACACCCAGTCACTACAAAGATACAGGTGTCCTTCCTAATGGAGTTGCCGGAGAGGAAAGAAACCGCTCAGGGAGGTCACAATGAGGCCAACAGTGACTTTAAAACAGTTAGTTTATTGGCTGTGATAGGAGAACTGAGGATGGATCAACAACATTGTAGTTATTCCACAAGACTAACCTAAATGACAGAGTGAAAAGAAGGAAGTCTGTACAGAATACAAATATTCCAAAACATACTTTCTGAAGGCATTGTATAGTCCACACCTCGTGTTTTTATGTCCTGGGCCATTCAAGTCTATTGGAGGTACGCCAGATGTTCTTGTCGAGCCAAGGGGGCCTTGTACAATGTAATCCGCTTGTAAGCCTTCAAGAGAGCAGTGTTTTATATTGTGTGGTTAACACTACAGGGTTTAAACATACTATTTGGCCATAGCCCTCAGATCACAATACCTACATTTAAGTTGCTGAACTAATAATGTTTACCACACAGACACACCATTGGGGGAGGTGCTTTAGCTTTGGTAGGGTAGGCCCCCAGGCTTCTCACTGGTGAATACATGGAGATGCCATTGAAGTGGGCCATCAGTGACAAAAAGCTGAAGTGGGCCATCAGTGACAAAAAGCTTTCCATCTTCCCCAGGCCTATATTCACACTTACATGCTTTCAAAGCCTGGCCAACAATGATCCATGTAATCTATAGGCTAGGTCTGATGAACCGGTCAGTGCGTCTCTCTCTCAATCTTTCTCACATGCGTTTTCCCCATATATCCCCAGAACCTTTTTTTTCAGTGTCTGTCTCTCTTTTAACTAAGTTTCCCTCCTCTCTTCCAGAGGAAGTGACACGGGACTATGCTTATGGCGAGAGCAACCCTCTGGTGAGGAGATGTCGATTGTTGCCGTGGATACCAGCTGACTTGGTAGGGGTCAACACTCTGACCCCTGAACCCTCTGATCTCTACTATGAGGTAGGGAGACAAGAAACATGTTTCTAGTGTCAATACAGTCAGCCAATTAATTACTCACTCAATGTCTTGAGGAAGTTCATAAGTGAAAAGTCTACACATGAAACCTTTAGAGGTCAAATTAATGACATTTTGAACTATGGTTAAAGATGTCCTCCAGTGAATTGTTATTTTATTTGCATTTTTATGAAAAGCGATATCCCAAGTACAAATACAGTAAAGTACCCATACTAAAGGGTGAAAAAAAATATGTTTTGAACAAAATAGTGTTTTTTAGACACAACTGCAAACTGCAAGGAGTAGGGCATTCAAGGAGTTGATGTGATGGGATTCTGTTGCTTGAGGAGCAGTAGAGAACTAAAGAGGAAAGCCCCCCCCCCCACACTTGTGCCATGTCATGACTTACCTGGACCAGTTATTGAGATGTGCCTTTTGTTAAGAAAATCTGGTGTTAAATGGGGTGAAAAGCAGACTGGAGCGCCATTTTAAACTGCCAACACCTCTCCCCTCTCTTTCTCTCTCCCCGTCTTTCTCTCCTCAGACCATTTCACAGGAGAACAAGGAGATTCTTCCTCTGGACATTCGGCCCCATACTGTCCCCAAAGACAAAGTACTCAAGTCAGTCCAAGTCCATTTTTATTTCATTACCATTAATGAGATATGACATATAATCATGCTCACAAAACCCCTTTGTGTGCATGCCTTGCAGGGTATACACAGAGATGGGGCAAGTTCTAAACAATCTCCATCACCCACGGTTCACATTCACAGAGACTGAAGAAGAGGCTGATATTCTTTGGACCTTCTCCCACATCAGAGACTACAGGTCAACACACAGACACACACTTTCAACAAGTACCCAAAACACTTTTCCATTATTTAATTACACTGAATTCCTATGAGAATCTACGGGCGGCAGGTAGCTTAGTGGGTAAGAGCGTTGTGCCAGTAACCGAAAGGTCGCTGGTTCTAATCCCCGAGCCGACTAGGTGAAAATCTGTCGATGTGCCCTTAAGCAAGGCACTTAACCCTAATTGCTCATGTAAGTCGCTCTGGATAAGAGCGTCTGCTAAATGACTAAAATGTAAATGTAAATGTACCCAACATATCAAGCCATGTCAAACTGCATTCTTATTTCATAACTGATAGTCTTCACTTCTACAACTGTGGGGTTTTCACTAGATGTGGGCTTTTTGGTGTGCTCTCTAAATCGGTTGCCTTTGGCTGACACCACAGTGTCGTCTTAGTAAGATCACGGCTCACTTCACCACAACCAGTATCTTACGTCTGCCTGCCCCTAGCTGTGACAATCACAGACAGCACAGATACGTATATAACTCAGGTGGCCTTCCAAGTGTGAGCACTTTAGTAAGTAGTGCTAAGTGACATGTAAATGATGTTGAGATACTTCAAATTATAGTTATTTTATAGTGCATTGGGACAGACATAGCTGCTCTCTGTCCCAATGACACACACCACAGATAACACTTTAACCAAAAACTCCAGGCTGTTTGGGCGGTGAGATAAGTCTCCAGGGATCTGGCCTCAATCTTATCTGTCTAATAAGAGTACAATTGATTTATTGACAACTTACCCATCTAGGATCAGCTGTCTCAATCCTAGCCTTGATGTGAAAAATACCAAACTAATAATAATCCTAAACTGACTCTCCCCCCCTCCACAGGAAGTTAAGTGAGGAGCGTCCTCACGTTATGACCAATCAGTTTCCCTGTGAGACGGTTGTCACGGTGAAGGACTGCCTCTCCGCCGTGTCGCGGAGGGCCCGGGGGGGCCAGGGGGCCGAGTGGCTGCCAGAGACATTCAACCTGCAGACCGAGCTGCCTCAGTTTGTCAGACATTACCAACAAAGACAAGAGCGGTGCGCTCAGATGATCAGACACCTCCCTTCATATAGGACATCAGACAGTGCTGAAAGTTATTAGCTTTATACGTTTTTATATAAGTAATTGTGTGTGTGTGTGTCTGTTCCAGGGGAGAAGACAATCATTGGATCTGTAAGCCTTGGAACCTGGCCCGTGGGCTGGACACACACATCACCAATAACCTAGACTACATCATCAGACAGCGAGAGAGCACGCCCAAGGTAACACACACACCATGGTCATGTGAAAAACAATTATGGAAAAGCACCCCAATTTACCCAATGTACTGTACTCCCCCAACCCCAGATAAGCTATTTTAGAGCACAGACTGAAATATTAACAACACTAGTCTTCTCTGTTGAAGGCCTGGGGTTTTGTGTCCCATGTGGTTCGATCATTAACCCCTCTGAGACCCTTTCCAGATGGCCTCAGGCCAGAAGTTGATTGATCAAGCCATTAACCCCTCACTACCCCCCTTTATTATTTACATGTCACTTTGCACTACTCACGCTTTAGTGCTCACAGGTTACATTCAATAGGTAAGATGCAGAACATTTATTCTAAATCAACCACAGACATCCTGTCATCACAGACATCCTGTTATCAACAGCTCAAGATTCTGTGTCAAAGGCCACCTCATTTGTATACATCTCTGGGCCTCTTTACACTACACTACTTTGACAACACAAACTAGGTCCAGGAGGGATACAGTGCATCCAGAAATTATTCATACCCCTTGAGTTATTCCACATTTTGTTGTTACAGCCTGAATTCAAAGTTGATTAGATATTTATTTTTTCTCACCCATCTACACACAATACCCCATAATGACAGTGATAACATGTTTTTAAATATGTTTGCAAATTTATTGACAATGAAATACAGAAATATCACATTTACATAAGTATTCACACCCCTGCGTCAATACTTTGTAGAAGCACATTTTGACAGCGATTACAGCTTTCTGGGTAAGTCCCTAAGAACTTTCCACATCTGGATTGTGCAACATTTACCCATTATTCTTTTCAAAATTCTTCAAGCTCTGTCAAATTGGTCGTTGATCATTGCTAGACAACTTTTTTCAGGTCTTGCCATAGATTTTAAAGTAGATTTAAGTCAAAACTGTAACTCGGCAACTCAGGAACATTCACTGTCTCTTTTTGGTAAGCAAGTCCAGTGTATATTTGGCCTTGTGTTTTTAGGTTATTGTCCTGCTGAAATGTGAATTAATCTCGCAGTGTCTGTGCTTAGCTCTATTCCATTTCTTTTTTTATCCTGAAAAACTCCCCAGTCCTTAATGATTACAAGCATAGCCATAACATGATGCAGCCACTGATGGGGATTTTTCAGTAGACTATAGTTAAATCTCTTCAGACTCAGTAGACTATAAGATAAACATAGTTAATCACAACATGACGAACACGGAGACAGGGTTAAACATGGGTACATCTCTGTTGCTAGGCAAGAACTTAATTGGTTCCTCTCACTGGTGTAGTCATTGCCCTGCCTGGTGTATGTGTGTGTGAAATAGGACAGTTTATTCTCTTTTCATCTGACCTGTCTTCGGGTCAAATTCCTCGCTCCTCCCTAATCCACGGCTGTCCTGCCTTATCAGTGACTGAAACCAGACTGTTGCCCTTTGCCTCTCTCCTTAGGCATATTCCTGGAACGGAGCCAGGGTTGAACAGAGTTCAGACTAAACATGGTTAATCACAGCATGAGGGGCGTTGGGACTGAGTGGTACAGAGGGAGGAGGCTGGTATATGTTTGAGAAATTGATTATGGACCTGCCATGTTTTAAGCCATGTTTAAGTATTTATTGATATGTTTGGGAATCAATTAGGGGGTCAGAAAAGGGCTCTGTTATTTTTACATGACAGGACTGTTATTTTTGCATGACAGGGCTTGGTCCCACCACTATATTCAATGTCTGCTTTTTAAATGTTTACCCATCTACCAATAGGTGCCCTTTTTTGCGAGGCATTGGAAAACCTCCCTGGTCTTTGGTTAAATCTGTGTTTTGAAATTCACTGCTCGACTGAGGGACCTTATAGATAATACAGTGGGGGAAAAAAGTATTTAGTCAGCCACCAATTGTGCAAGTTCTCCCACTTAAAAAGATGAGAGGCCTGTAATTTTCATCATAGGTACACGTCAACTATGACAGACAAAATGAGGAAAAAAAACCCAGATAATCACATTGTAGGATGTTTTATGAATTTATTTGCAATTTCAGCCAAAGGCAGACTCAGAGAACACCATAATGCCATACACATCTAGTCAAAACATCACATTGGGAAGTGAACACTATGAACACATCAATTAGATATAGCTTGATAAATGAAGGAGTGTGTTGACTAGGCCTATTGGTTGAAAAAGTGTGTGTGTATACGTGCATGCATCTGTGTATTTATGCCTGTGTATGTGTGTGTGTCTCCCAGGTGGTGTGTAAGTACCTGGAGGATCCGGTGCTGTTTGAGAGGGAGGAGGTGGGGATGGTGAAGTTTGATATCCGCTACATGCTGCTGCTGCGCTCAGTTCAGCCTCTACGCCTCTACGCCTACAAAGTGTTCTGGCTGCGCTTTGCCAACAGGTTAGACACAAACACACACGCTTCCCCTCAACTGCTGCAGAAAGTGGAGCTTCCTTGCAACACTTGATTGTACAAGTTTGTCATGCTGACTTTCACCACAAAATGCTGGGCTATACTGGGTTTCTTTCTTTTCAATAGGAAACCAATAAATCACATTTTATTTATCACATGCGCCGAATACAACTGTTGACGACTTTACAGTGAAATGCTTGTTTATAAACCTTTCCCAACGATGCAGATTAAATAAATAAATAAGAATCCAAAATAAAATGGTAACTAACACGAGGAATAAAATAATATACACACGAATGGAGCAACATACAGGGAGTACCAGTACCAGAGGCATCTGACTAGGCATCAGGATCGATAATAATAAGAGTAAAATAAAGAACAGAGTAGCAGCAGCAAATGATGAGTGTAAAAGTGTGTTTGTGTGTGTGTGTGTGTATGTATTGTTTGACTGGAGGGGGGGGGTGTCAATGTAAATAGTTTGGGTGGCCATTTTATTAATTGTTCAGCAGTCTTATGGCTTGGGGTTAGAAGCTGTTAAGAAGCATTTTGGTCCTAGACTTGGCGCTCCGGTACCGCTTGCTGTGCGGTAGCAGAGAGAACAGTCTATGACTTGGGTGACTGGAGTCTTTGACCATTTTCTGCGCCTTACGGTCAGATGCCGAGCAGTTGCCATACCAGGCGGTGACGCAACCGGTCAGGATGCTCTCGATGGTGCAGCTGTAGAACTTTTTGAGGATCTGGGGATTCATGCCAAATCTTTTCAGTCTCCTGAGGGGAAAAAGGTGTTGTCGTACCCTCTTCACGACTGTCTTGGTGTGTTTGGACCATGATCGTTTGTTGGTGATGTGGACGCCAAGGAACTTGAAACTCTCAACCTGCTCCACTATAGCCCCATCGACGATAATGGAGGCCTGTTCGGCCCGCCTTTTCCTGTAGGTCACGATCAGCTCCTTTGTCTTAATCGCATTGAGGGAGAGGTTGTTGTCCTGGCACCACACTGCCAGGTCTTTGACCTCCTTCCTATATGCTGTCTCATCGTTGTCTGTGATCAGGCCTACCCCTGTTGTGTCGTAAGCAAACTTTAATGATGGTGTTGGAGTAGTGTTTGGCCACGCAGTCGTGGGTGAACAGGGAGTACAGGAGGGGACTAAGCATGCACCCCTGAGGGGCCCCAGTGTTGAGGATCAGCGTGGCATATGTGTTGTTGCCTACCCTTACCACCTGGAGGCGGCCCGTCAGGAAGTCCAGGATCCAGTTGCAGAGGGAGGTGTTTAGTCCCAGGGTCCTTAGCTTAGTGATGAGCTTTTTGGGCACTATGGTGTTGAACGCTCAGCATTCTCACATAGGTGTTCCTTTTGTCCAGGTGGGAAAGGGCAGTGTGGAGTGCGATTGAGATTGCGTGATCTGTTGGGGCGGTATGCGAATTGGAGTGGGTCTAGGGTTTCCGTGATGATGGTGTTGATGTGAACCCTGCTGAACTTTCTGAAACCGTCTTTCTCCACAGTTTGAATTGGTTCCATGTCTTTCGCTATGTGATACGTAATTGCACTCGTTATCGCATTCCACTTCTTGCTCTTCTTGTCATAGGGAGTACCACTAACGAATGATGCCTTGAGTGATAGCTGAATGCGGGTCTGGCTTGAAGATGTCTTGGGACTTGCTCCGCTACTCCGGGGGTTTGTTGCACGCATTCTGGTAGATTGCTGGCGTTTCCACCTTTGGCTAGCACAATGCGTCGACACAACTTACACAGTACTGTTTGTTGGTCGAGGTCGGGTGTCTTCAAGCCAAACCAGTTCCAAACGACAGAGGAGGCCCCCTTTTTTCAAACCAATTCTTCGTCTTCCTGCAAATTAACCTCAACAGCATTATTTTCGTTGTCTTCAGTCATTCTCAATGCTTGCTTACACTTTTGCGCTTGATTTTCGGACACTTTTGCTAACGAAAGTTTACTTAACTAAATGTTTGCTTACTCTGCAGTTGTGCATGTTTGTTTGTTAACTTTGATTGGCAGGCAGATTGCGTGTAACGTCCATGCTTCTAGTTTTGTTCTTTGATAAAAAAAGGCTATGTTTTTATCACTCGACTGAAATTTAGAATGAAACAAAAACGCCTTATTTCATACATTTATTAATTTATTATGATATGCACAATATGGCAATATCCATATCATGGCACACCATCATATCGGTATTCACGTTCATACCGGTATATTGCCCACCCCTAGTCTGTACTAGCAAAACAGTCTTGTAGCCTCGCGTCTGCTTCGTCCGACCACTTCTGCATTGAGCGCATCACTGGTACTTCCCGTTTGAGCTTTTGTTTGTTAACAGGAAGCAGGAGAATACCTCTGCATCTTAGCTAGAACATTTGACAATTTAAACCAGCTGCCTTGCTAACCACAGTTTCCCCCTTTCTATCGACATGCTCCACTCACAAGACTGCGTATAGGTCCTACATGTTTGTAGCTCTTCTCTTAGAATGGTTGAGGACGTGTGAGGATGGGGCTCAAAAGGTTTAGGTGAGGACAGAATTTGAATATCAAATGCTGCAACACATAAATGCCACCTGTGGAGCTTTGACTTCCAGAATAAGAGTGCTGATCTAGGATCTGTTTTGCCTTATATAGAAGGGGAACCTGATCCTAAATCAGCACTCCTATTCTGAGATGCTTTGTGAATACAGGTCCAGAGCTTTATGCTTATATGCCCCTGGTCTCATCTCTGTTCTACACAGGCCTTTCTCTCTGGACCACTTTGATGACTACCAGAAGCACTTCACTGTCATGAACTATGCAGAGGGGGTCCAGCTCAAACAGGTAATGATTCCAAAGCAAACCCCTGCATTCATAGAAAGCAGACTAAGCCAACCGACTGAAAAGGACAAACACATGCACAAATGCTCAGAAAAGTAAACAAACACTTGTCAAAGAAAATGCACACAAGGCAACAACACAAAAACACACACACAGCTGCAATAAACACACACCACCTGAATTACTTCCCTAAATCTGATACTCTGTCTGCCCCAGGTTCACTATGATGAATTCATACCCATGTTTGAAAAGCAGTATCCTCAGTATCCATGGAAAGAGGTTGAGGTAAACAGACACTTTTAATGCTTCACTTGTCTGTCTGTATGTGTGAGTTAAGCCGGGAGGACACTACATGACTTTGAAAATCCTAACATCGCCTCTCACATTAAACAACCGTCTTTCCTGTAGTTTTGTTATGTTGCCAACGTAGTGGTGCACTAAACGATGTGGCACAGATGGGTTCACACTACAAGATTCTTCACTTGGTCGTGAGGATTGTCGATACCACACTGCCTTGCAAAAACAATGATGTGATTAGATTTAACGTAGCTACAACGAGCTGTGGCTCAAAGCAGCCTCATAAACGTTTTCAGTCAGACATTCACTCTTGCCATACAGAGTTGAAATATCTTGCCAACAATTTGAATTGAATAACATTGCTTATGAACTTTAGAGCTGTAACGATTTGATGCTTTGGTTAAAGGCAAGTACTAACGCATACTAGTAGTAGTCATGGCTCCTGCTCCAAAGTCTACAAATTCTGGGTGATGCCAAACAACGTCATCATCTCACTGGCTTCTTCTCTGGTGAGCTCTCATTGGCTATTGCTGATCATCGTTCTCAAAAATTGTTGTTGCACATCTCACTACAAGAGCATTGCAGATTTTGTGCCGATAAAATCAAACATGTTTGAAAATATCGAGACGTCTGGGACTGCTCAAAGACGAAATCGGTAGTCCTCAGATTACGTCTTTGACCCGCTCACATTAAACGAGCGTTGGTGATGGCCGCGCGCCCCGAGTAGGCAACGACATGGGCATATTGTCTCTGATCTCAAAAACGGGTCTAGGACAGATAAATCGTGGCCAAAATCGTGTACTGTAGACCCAACTTTACTCTGTAGCTCTGTTAGATAATCAGTGTTGAGATTAGTTACTTGTGAAAGTAATATATTAGTCATTGTTTAACAAAGTACAATATTACTTTGTGTGGAAAGTAACACATTATTACTTTGCGTTACTTTCATGATTTTTAAAATGTTGTTTGACTGTCATAGAGAACAAGGCGAGACGTGCATGCGCTACCAAAGATGGGCTACTTACTCAAATCTAATTTTATTTGTCACATGCTTTGTAGACAACAGGTGTAGACTAACATTGAAATTCTTACTTACAGGTCCTTTTCAAACAATGTGGAGTTAAAGATAAAATAAAATAAAAAAATATGAATAGTGACACAAGGAAGAAATACACAGTGAATAATGAATAAAAATAAAGAGTTAAAATAACATTGCTACAGTTGAAGTCGAAAGTTTACATACACATAGGTTGGAGTCATTAAAAAATAAACATAGATATGGGTTGTATTTACAATGGTGTTTGTTCTTCACTGGTTGCCTTTTTCTTGTGGGTCACATCTTGCTGCTGTGATTTCTCCCTCTACCCCCTTCTCATGCTTTACCCTTCCCCCTCTCTCCTCTCTCTCAGAGAGAGATGTTCAAGGCATTTGCAGAGCTCTTCCAGGTAGCCTCGTCTCGTCCAGCCCCCTACGGTTTCTGTGCCTACCCCTCCTCCCGGGCCATCTACGCTGTAGACCTCATGCTCAAGTGGGGCACCGGGGACAGAGGTGAGGCATGGGTTTGTTAATGAATACTTATCGCGTGTCTGTGTACGTGTCTGTACCTCCACGTGTGAGTATGTGTGAGAGCTCTACATTCCTCACACATTCACAAGATAGGCTAACAGTATACACTGTGGGAACAGGAGGACGGCTGGTCTGGCCTTGAACTGGCTAACTGTTATTGTCCATCTATTGTTTCTGAGACTGTAGCCAGTTCAAGGCCAGACTAGCTGTCCTCCTGTTCTCAGGGCATATACAAGGGAACGCAGCCAAATCAGCCTCTTGTCTCTGTGACCGGACTAGTTGGACCAGTTATAGGAGATCCCCATAACTGATCAGGTTGTACATGTCCTAATGATGACATAATGCATCTGCACTGTGAGAAGTAAAGATCCTGGTGTGATGCATGGGACTGGCAGTGTAAGGAAGGAAGGGAGAGGGAGGGAGCAGCAGAGGACCAGGACCAGCAGCAGCTGCATAAAATATTTTTGCATAAAGTAACACATGCATAGGCATAAGGTTGTTACTCTGTATTTTTGATGTCCCTACATTTACAGACCTAAAACTCATGTATGGCTACTGGGGCTTGTTGGGAATAATTTATTTTTTCAAGGTGTGGAAAATGCTGGATAAAAGGATGAAGCAAATAAGTTCTATATTTTAAAAGGATTAATAGACACACACATATGGGGAGACAGACACGTTCCTCGGAAGGTCCATACCAATCTACTGAAGGACAAACCACTCATTATATATGTTGTAGAAAATTATCCTTATCCTCAGTAAAACACAAAGTACTTCGAGTTTTTGTAGAATTAAGATATACTTTATTACACAAGCAATAGAGCCAAAAAGGTCTGCAGAGCAACTGCCTTTCCAACTCTCAGCTCTCAGTTTATATACATTTTCATAATAATAATAATAATAATAATATGCCATTTAGCAGACGCTTTTATCCAAAGCGACTTACAGTCATGCGTGCATACATTATTATTTTTTTGTGTATGGGTGGTCCCGGGGATCGAACCCACTACCTTGGCGTTACAAGCGCCGTGCTCTACCAGCTGAGCTACAGAGGACCAACATTCATCCTTCCTCATATTACACACCTTTTTAGCTTAATCCCTCCCTGTTTAGTTCCTCCACCATTGTTTCCAGTTTTCACACCTTGACCGCCCCGCCTACTTATTTTATAATAGTGGCGCAATCTGACTTATTTTCCTTCTATTCAATCTGTTCTTTGAAACAATGGTGGCGGGACCAAGCCCTGTCATGTAAAAAATAAGAGCCAGGTGGCTCTGTTCTGACCCTTTTAATTGATTCTTAAAATAGCAGATCCATTTTTCTGAGCCTCAATTAATCCTTAAAAATTGTAGGTCCATTCCCTGAGCCATTTCCTGGCTCTGTTTCAGGCCTCTTCCTTTTGCACCATACTTAGCTTGTCATGTTGTGATTAACTATGCTTAACTATGTTCAACTGAAAATCTCCAATATATACACATCTGATCTCTGTTCGCTCTCCAAGTGCCTAGGCCCTGGTCAAAACATCTCCACCCTCTGGGTCAGAGTAAACTATCATTTGAATGTGCCTATGGCTGAGTTACAGCTATCGGCCGTAGCCTCAGGAAGGTTACCTAGGATACCAAGTTCTGTTTTATGGTGACGACTCCTAACTTCAGAGGTCACCCAGATGCTACAACTTAATTTAGTGGGCATAAAGAATTTAGGACCCAACAGGCTAGGGTGAGAGTGCAGTTGGTTAGTTGTCTGCTGTTATTTCAAATGTGGTCCTGTGTGGCTCAGTTGGTAGAGCATGGCACTTGGAATGCCAAGAGTCATGGGTTCGATTTCCGCTGGGGCCACCCATACGGGAAATGTATGCATGCATGACTAACTCACTTTGGATAATAGTGTCTGCTAAATAGCAAACGTTACGCTCTCAACTCTGTCAGAGGGAGATTGGGGGGCTTAACAGTTGATTAGTGATGTATAACACAGATTCTGATCCCTACAGAGGTTTAAACTGCAAAAATCTCAGCGTGTAGGAAAACTGCTATATATCTTAGTGGGAGTTTCCCGTAGTGATAGTTTCCCCCAGGGGGATAGGTACAATGGCACTGTTCATCTATAAATCAATAGTGATACCATTGCAGAGTATTACCAGTGTAGACAATTGTACACTAAATACCATATACTTAATCAAATTTCTCACACTTAATTTGCATTTCTTAATTTCTCATAAACCTCATATTTTAGTTGTATTATATAATATAAGTTCCATTTAAATGTTATCCATTATTAACCCTTGCTAATAATATCCAGTGTATGATCTAACCCTCTATGATCTGTTCCTGGATCAGGTGAACGTGTGATGAAGCCTCAGATCCTGGAGGTGAACTTCAGTCCAGACTGCGCCCGTGCCTGCCTCTATCACCCTGGCTTCTACGACCACATGTTCCAAACACTCTTCCTGGATGAGGCTGATCAGTGCCCTGTCACTCAGGTCTCATGATGACCTCTAACCCCTATCCTCGAATCCCTTCCATATTACGCAGTTGAAAAGGCCCATTTGGACAATTTGTGTTTCTTCTTTCTCGTAGGAATTGAGAATGAGTAATGGTCTGGATCTTTGACCCGTGTGCCGCATTCGGTCTCCACAGAGGCCCGGAGGATCGCACTTAAAATTGATTATATTTCCTCGCAATCAAAATTTGCAAATAAATTGTTTTTCAATCACTTTTGGAATTTTCTATGCTCCCTGACTGTCTAGATTTTGTTTCGATGACTGTTAGCAAACTGGAAAGAGTGACTACTATAAATGTAGGTTCATTATAATTTCTACACAGTTTTGATTTGGCTTTAGTAATTTTAAATGTCAAATGAGTTTCTCTCCCAATGTATTTATTTTTAGCATTATTCAAACCTTCTGCGGGACTGATTGAAGGGGCTCGCGGGCTGGTTCTGGGCCGCAGGCCATATATTTGACACCCCTGGTCTGGACTGATACACACTGATCTCTCTCACACACCCACCCACCCAGAGTAAAGTAGGTAGGCCCAGAGTAGGGGTGGTAAGGAGTAGGGGTGGTCTTAAAGGGAGTGCTCCTAATCTCAGCTTGTTAACTGTATAAAAGACACCTGTCCACAGAAGCAATCAATCAATCAGATTCCAAACTCTCCACCATGGCCAAGACCAAAGAGCTCTCCAAGGATGTCAGGGACAAGATTGTAGACCTACACAAGGCTGGAATGGGCTACAAGACCATCGCCAAGCAGCTTGGTGAGAAGGTGACAACAGTTGGTGCGATTATTTGCAAATGGAAGAAACACAAAATAACTTTCAATCTCCCTCAGCCTTGGGCTCCATGCAAGGTCTCACCTCGTGGAGTTGCAATGATCATGAGAACGGTGAGGAATCAGCCCAGAACTACACGGGAGGATCTTGTCAATGATCTCAAGGCAGCTGGGACCATAGTCACCAAGAAAACAATTGGTAACACACTATGCCGTGAAGGACTGAAATCCTGCAGCGCCCGCAAGGTCCCCCTGCTCAAGAAAGCACATATACAGGGCCGTCTGAAGTTTGCCAATGAACATCTGAATGATTCAGAGGAGAACTGGGTGAAAGTGTTGTGGTCAGATGAGACCAAAATCGAGCTCTTTGGCATCAACTCAACTCGCCGTGTTTGGAGGAGGAGGAATGCTGCCTATGACCCCAAGAACACCATCCCCACCGTCAAACATGAAGGTGGAAACATTATGCTTTGGGGGTGTTTTTCTGCTAAGGGGACAGGACAACTTCACTGCATCAAAGGGACGATGGACGGGGCCATGAACCATCAAATCTTGGGTGAGAACCTCCTTCCCTCAGCCAGGGCATTGAAAATGGGTCGTGGATGGGTATTCCAGCATGACAATGACCCAAAACACACGGCCAATGCAACAAAGGAGTGGCTCAAGAAGAAGCACATTAAGGTCCTGGAGTGGCCTATTCAGTCTCCAGACCTTAATCCCATAGAAAATCTGTGGAGGGAGCTGAAGGTTCGAGTTGCCAAACGTCAGCCTCGAAACCTTAATGACTTGGAGAAGATCTGCAAAGAGGAGTGGGACAAAATCCCTCCTGAGATGTGTGCAAACCTGGTGGCCAACTACAAGAAACGTCTGACCTCTGATTGCCAACAAGGGTTTTGCCACCAAGTACTAAATCATGTTTTGCAGAGGGGTCAAATACTTATTTCCCTCATTAAAATGCAAATCAATTTATTACATTTTTGACATGTGTTTCTCTGGATTTTTTAGTTGTTATTCTGTCTCTCACTGTTCAAATAAACCTAACATTAGAATTATAGACTGATAATTTCTTTGTCAGTGGGCAAACGTATAAAATCAGCAGGGGATCAAATACTTTTTTCCCTCACTGTATTAAAAATTGAATTATTTTACCAGATACACATAAACTTAACTGTGGTATTTCTAATGGGCTATCCGAAATATGCAATTGTGGTGCATTGATCATGTATTTATCCTTCTCCCTGCCTATCGGTGTTGTATGTCATTATGGGGACAATGACATCTCCTCTCTAGGTTTTCATTCTGGGAATTAGGGTACGGTTTGGCAGGATTCCAATTCCCCCTCTCTCTATCTCCATATCGCTGTCTCTTCTCATCCTGTACTCTCACGTTACAATCTCGAACCCAATGGCCCCATTGTTTACAATAATTGCAAGTATCCATGTCTCTGTTAAACCTCCTTCTTCCTCCTCTGGAATTACCATTGGACCTGCCTCTCCCTCGATTATTATTATAAGGTACGAATTGCCCGTTTGTATGCTGCTGAAATGGTACCATTTTATCCTGCTGTTTGTATTGGGGAAATTGCAGTGCCTGAATTGTTTCTGCTCATTGAATAATCCTACTGCCTCTAATTCCCTAACATTTTTTAAGAGTTGTAATGGTTTTATTGAATATATTTGTATGGACAAATTCAACAGGCTGAACCACGTAAAGAAGGTCGTTTAAAGTACACACTCCACAGATTCCCCTGAATAGTGGAGGAAGATTAGTCCATATATTATTTCCAGAACACCAAAAGAACCCTGGAATCGGTAGGATTCCCAGTTTAGAAATACGATAGTCTTCTCCCATGTTCTCAAACATGATGAGACATTGAGAAGCTCGCAAGAACGCAATATCTATTGCTGAAAACTCGCCCCTTGGTTGTCCCTTTACGCACACATCAAATACAGAAGATGCATTTACAGTAGCTGATATCTGAGTGGGTACTACAGTGGGGGAAAAAAGTATTTAGTCAGCCACCAATTGTGCATGTTCTCCCACTTAAAAAGATGAGAGAGGCCTGTAATTTTCATCATAGGTACAAGTCACTATGACAGACAAATTGAGAAAAAAAATCCAGAAAATCACATTGTAGGATTTTTAATGAATTTATTTGCAAATTATGGTGGAAAATAAGTATTTGGTCACCTACAAACAAGCAAGATTTCTGGCTCTCACAGACCTGTAACTTCTTCTTTAAGAGGCTCATCTGTCCTCCACTCGTTACCTGTATTAATGGCACCTGTTTGAACTTGTTATCAGTATAAAAGACACCTGTCCACAACCTCAAACAGTCACACTCCAAACTCCACTATGGCCAAGACCAAAGAGCTGTCAAAGGACACCAGAAACAAAATTGTAGACCTGCACCAGGCTGGGAAGACTGAATCTGCAATAGGTAAGCAGCTTGGTTTGAAGAAATCAACTGTGGGAGCAATTATTAGGAAATGGAAGACATACAAGACCACTGATAATCTCCCTCGATCTGGGGCTCCACGCAAGATCTCACCCCGTGGGGTCAAAATGATCACAAGAACGGTGAGCAAAAATCCCAGAACCACACGGGGGGACCTAGTGAATGACCTGCAGAGAGCTGGGACCAAAGTAACAAAGCCTACCATCAGTAACACACTACGCCGCCAGGGACTCAAATCCTGCAGTGCCAGACGTGTCCCCCTGCTTAAGCCAGTACATGTCCAGGCCCGTCTGAAGTTTGCTAGAGTGCATTTGGATGATCCAGAAGAGGATTGGGAGAATGTCATATGGTCAGATGAAACCAAAATAGAACTTTTTGGTAAAAACTCAACTCGTCGTGTTTGGAGGACAAAGAATGCTGAGTTGCATCCAAAGAACACCATACCTACTGTGAAGCATGGGGGTGGAAACATCATGCTTTGGGGCTGTTTTTCTGCAAAGGGACCAGGACGACTGATCCGTATAAAGGAAAGAATGAATGGGGCCATGTATCGTGAGATTTTGAGTGAAAACCTCCTTCCATCAGCAAGGGCATTGAAGATGAAACGTGGCTGGGTCTTTCAGCATGACAATGATCCCAAACACACCGCCCGGGCAACGAAGGAGTGGCTTCGTAAGAAGCATTTCAAGGTCCTGGAGTGGCCTAGCCAGTCTCCAGATCTCAACCCCATAGAAAATCTTTGGAGGGAATTGAAAGTCCGTGTTGCCCAGCGACAGCCCCAAAACATCACTGCTCTAGAGGAGATCTGCGTGGAGGAATGGGCCAAAATACCAGCAACAGTGTGTGAAAACCTTGTGAAGACTTACAGAAAACGTTTGACCTGTGTCATTGCCAACAAAGGGTATATAACAAAGTATTGAGAAACTTTTGTTATTGACCAAATACTTATTTTCCACCATAATTTGCAAATAAATTCATTAAAAATCCTACAATGTGATTTTCTGGAGAAAAAAAATTCTCATTTTGTCTGTCATAGTTGACGTGTACCTATGATGAAAATTACAGGCCTCTCTCATCTTTTTAAGTTGGAGAACTTGCACAATTGGTGGCTGACTAAATACTTTTTTTCCCCACTGTACATATTACTTCAACTACCTCAACTTGCCGGTGCCCCCGCACATTGACTCTGCACCGGTACCCCCCTGTATATATAGCCTCCCTACTGTTACTTTATTTTACTTCTGCTCTTTTTTCTCAACACTTTTTTGTTGTTGTTTTATTTTACTTTTTTATTACAAATAAATGCACTGTTGGTTAAGGGCTGTAAGTAAGCATTTCACTGTAATGTCTGCACCTGTTGTATTCGGCGCATGTGGCCAATAAAATTTGATTTGATTTGATTTGAGCACCTCAGATTTGTTGCTCAATAATAAAGTCTAACTTTGAATTCACAAGCTCCGGTTTCTTGAGAGATGTTTTTTGAGTTAAATATTTCTACGACATTAACCATTCATCCAGGGTCTATTTAAGCAATTAGGCACCTCAGGGGTTTGGTATATGGGCAATATACCACGGCTAAGGGCTGTATACAGACACAACGTGTTTTTTTGGCAAGCTTATCTGTTATATATTGCCATGTTTCATACTCCCATTCCTCAATCCAGATTTGTATTGTTCTAGTTCATCTTGGATAACAGCTTTAAAGCACACAGTAGTTATCTAACACAATTGTCATTAAGCTTAATTTATTGCCTTCACAGCAGTAGGTGTGAGCATATCTTACAATGATCAACTCCTGAAATGTATGTACAGTGGGGAGAACAAGTATTTGATACACTGCCGATTTTACAGGTTTTCCTACTTACAAAGCATGTAGAGGTCTGTAATTGTTATCATAGGTACACTTCACTTCAAAAATCCAGAAAATCACATTGTATGATTTTTAAGTAATTAATTTGCATTTTATTGCATGACATAAGGCTGGGATGGGCTACAGGACAATAGGCAAGCAGCTTGGTG